CATCGCAAAGCATAAACTACCGGCACCATTTCCCCCCTTCGTCTTCCGCCCTGTGAGTTTTCCTCTACAAGGATAAGATCACCGTTCAAGTTAATTACTTTAAAAACTCAGTAAAGGATGAGAACATGCACAGAATTTTAGTTTTGCAATCAACATCAATGTCAGTTAGGATGCACAGGGCTTTGACGACAGTTAAGAGTCTGAACAATGAAGCGGTTTGAATAACAATCAAAATGTCTATCTTTAGATATAGGCAGATGTAAAAAAAAAAAACAAAAACACACAGTCCGATACTGCAGAGCTGATAACATGTTGCTAATCCATCTGAACTGGTAGCTAACTGTCCCCAATGCTCAAAATACTCTTGAATGGCATTATATGATACAATTCGATACGGTATAGCATACGATACGATAAGATTCAGTACAATATACTTTATTGTCCTTATAGGGAAATCAGAAGCTGTACAAATATTGCTACCTTACAATATCAGTCCAGAAAAAAATAAAAAGCATACACCATAGAAAAATATAAAACACATACTACACATAACAGTACTGCACATCAACCACTCATGCACACAACACAACCCCTAAGCATCAAGCAACATTATTTTAAATCTTTCAACTCTGAAGTTGGCACAAATGAATTTTGAGAAATGATTCAGTTTAAATATGAGCATCCTGTATTGTCTGCCCGGAGGTAAAAGCAGATGATATCACGGCATTAAGAACAGATAAGTCACTAGAACAGACTTTTAATGTGAAACTGTATCTATTGAGGTTCATTCATCAAGTTCAGCACATCTTGTTGGATACAATACAGGGAAAACAAACTCGGCTGCCAGATTATTAGGTGCTTTACACCTACCTAAAGCTTATACAGTCCTGTAATAAATCCTGCCTTTCTGAAGGTTATGATGTTCAGTTTCTGATTAAACTGTTTGTGAGAGGTGTTGATTCAACGTTATGGTCATTTTGGGGCCCTGCAGTCTGTCATTAGACTGAGAAGTGTTTCTAATAACAAGTCTGCCCCGACTGATATCCTGAGCATGATGGGCAAATTATTACAAACAGGAATAAACTTTACGAGGGTCGGATTTACTGAAGCTGGCCATGGTGAATTGACTCACATAAATCCAAACCTTACAATGATATGCAGCAATCAGACACGACAACTATGCACCAAATTATTCCTTACTCAGATAGGTGTCCATTAGTTGGGTGCAGCAGCATTAACAAAAGAACAGGAGCTCAGCAGTTTACATGTACTTATGATAGGATGAATAGTACGCTACAGAAAGCTGTTACATAAACCCACGGATGTGAGTGGAATTACTTCTTTAATGGCTGGCTAAATATAAAACGTTTGGACTACATATCCTATCCTTTACAAAGCATTGCATTTCTCATAAAGCCAGTATAACAGAGAAGTAATTGCATGTAAATGCTACTAATCTTTACATCCATAAAGTCAATATACAGCATAATCTGCTACTAGAGACCCAAGCCTGAGTCTGGGTCAACAGGAAATCACCAAAACAGGCACAACTTTGCAATAGCTGTAACCATGTACACATGTTGTCCCTTTTTGCCAACTGGCAAGAACAGTTAATCAGCTGTACTTTGGCTCAGGATCTTGGAAAAGTCTGTGTATCTATTTGGATGTTAAGCCCTTTTTGTGATAGGCCATTTGCATTTTGCATCACCACACCCTTTTAGCCAACTGGCATAAAACACAGACTGTATATAAAAATGGAGGTAGCTACCATGACATCACCTTTTTTGTGGACTGCCATTTTGAAGCCTTGAGTGTCGCCATAATGGGTTTATAACTTATAACTAATATGCATAACTTTGGGTGTTAATAAAATGTAAACGGGTGAGTTATAATAAAAAATAAAAAAAAAATCACCCCCTGTACAGTTGTCATGTATGTTGAAATTAGCTACAAGGTCCAAAACCATTTTTGTACCAGGTTGTAAACATGTTCATTTCTGCTGTCGGGTATTTTAACATGGAGGTCTATGGGGATTGCCTGGCTTCTGGAGTCAGCCTCAAGTGGCCATTTAGTAAACTGCAGTTTTTGGCACTTCTGCATTTCGCCTTGGATATTGCTGCTTGACTTACACACTCACACAGTTGATCTTCATGCTAAATATCAGCCTCCTAGGGCAAAAACTGTTGTCACTAAAGCAACCCAGTCTCACTCCGAAATTTGGGTAGTGACTTGCGGCGCCATACGCAGCATGATACACAGCTGGTTGCCATTATAGTTTAATGGCGCTCAGCGGTGTCAGGGGGAAACGCAGCGGGACAAACACTGATTTTCACCCAGGAGACCGGTGTTCACGTCTCGTAAGATTATGAAGCCAAACCCTGTTCTTTTTTCCAAACCTAACCATGTGCTTTTGTTGCCTAAACCCAGCCACGTGCCTTAGTTGTTGGAGGGAAAAAAATATCAAGTCACGTTGTTGTACTGACGTATTGCGTATATTTTGAAAGAGTATGTAAACTGTAAATTTCCTGTGAAAACAGAAGTGTATTGTGAAAGAAGACAATGCATGTAACAGGCAGAACTTGACACGGTGTCCAAGAACGTCAACAACCAACACACCCAGGGTACCTGTCACGTCATATCTGGACGTGGAAAGTCCATGACCAAACGTCGATATGTGATGAATTCGGAGTGAGAATGTGTTGGCTAAAGGGTGGGGGAATTTATTTAAGGCCTTAGCCATGGAGTCAATACCAGGGGGACCAAACCTGCTGGAGGGTCTGGTTTTAGCATATTTGGGACGGATGTGTTCCCCTCTTTATAATTACTGCCTTGCAGCTACTGACGGCAGCTAACAAACCCATCATGTTATGTCACAAAGCAATCAGTAGCATGAAGCATCACAATGGATGTGCCAAACTAACAAAGCCAGAAAAGAAAATTCAGCAACCAGAGCAGCATAATAGGACTAAAATAAGCATAATCAACAGACACCAAGGCAACCACAAGCAGACTTTAGAGAGCAATAATCCCACACTAAAAATGACGGAACACAACAAAGATGGAGGAAACACTTACCAGAGCTTGTTGAAATGAAACATTTTAGGGTAGGATGAGGTGGCCTTTAAGGGGGTGGCAGCTGGTATGACAAATGAACCTCCAGCAACAAGATGTGAGAAAAACACCATTATTTCACCCACAAAGTCCTTTTGAAGTAACATGATGCAGCTATGAGCAGTTTAGCTTGATTGAGTTGGCAAACTAGCAGAAGGACAGCAGAGTGAAGGAGCAGGTGGAGCTTCATAGCCTTAAATAGGCCGGCTCATTCCTGAGGGTGCGCTTCATTTGTGCTCCAGTGAGGAGAGTGTGTCACATGTGTGGTTTCAATTAGCCTACCTGCACATGCTAGCTATGATAGCCACTTACAATACAGCGTGTAAGACATAATTTGAACTGAGAACGAATGCTTTCATTTTAAGTTTGACACTAATTTGTGAAAATTAAAGGGGGGCTTTGAAAATATATGTATTCAATTATATTCCAATATGAAATGCATAGATTATAAACACACAACACCTTGTATGTTCAACTATTGACAAAAAAAATGTTATATTGTTTTTTCCTCCTGTTACTGTTGCTTGACTTGGACCCCCAGACTCATAATAGCTATTGAATTATAAATTAAATGGGTGTGATTGTCTCTGAGAAACTACTCATACATTTTAATTGGTCACACATACAGGCTAACTTGAGTCCCAGTCTCTTTAGCTAAAACTCACTATTAGAAATAATTCTCAGTAGCCATTTTATGTTTTTAACATTATTTATTATTTATCCATGGGAACTTCCCTTAGCAATTCCTTTCATGCAGCGTCCTGGTTTATGCTAATATAATTCATTCTGGATAATCACAGGAATACTCAACCAGTGTAATGCACAAAACCTTTCAGTACTTTCAACTCCTTTTATTAAGCTTACCCTGTCTAATATTTGCTGACACTATGTCAGACAGATTTTTGCAGATATAGTTTGTGGATTTAATAGATTACATGACATTGGAAAGGTATTTCTTATTTCTTTTAATTTGGCTTCCCTACCGTGCAGTATTATCTGTCCTGTGCTGCTGTCCTGCTTTTATTGAAGCAGTTTGGTCTTAAAGGTACGGTGTGAAGGATATAGTGGCATCTAGTGGTGAGTTTGCAGAACTGAAACTTCTCCTATGTGCCAAGCGTATAGAACTATGATGGCCGATACAAAAACATAAAAACCAGAATGGCCCTGTCTAGAGCCAGTGTACTGTAGAATAACATGGCAGACTCCCTGGAAGAGGACCTGCCCCATATGTAGATATAAACAGTTCATTCTACAATAATGGAAACACAACGATTTTTTTTTTCAGGGGATTATTCACTAATGAAAACATAGTAATGAATAAAACATACCTTTTCTGCCAATAAATCCCCCTAAATCCTAGACCTTTAAGTGTGCATTTCTTTAAATTATAATCCTTACACACATTTTTGTATTCAGGGCTGCTGTCAAATGAGCAGCATTGCAGACCTACCGGTACATAAAAATGCAGATACTGCTGTGACTGCATATATTAGGATATCCTGCATGGGAGTTATTTATGTACCGTATAATAAGTATATCAGTGCATATACTGTATATACATACCTGATTAACTGTGAAGGGGGGCTGTAGGAGACATATGAGCTGCTCCTGAGGAAACCCTTCATTCCTCCAACTCATTATGTCGCCTCAAGTACCCATTATGTGCAGTGAGTACTAAAACAAGCGCTAATACAAGCTTAGCTCATCAACAGAGAGATGGTCACCAACAAATTTTAGGATGTATTAAGTGTTTAATTTCATTTATCAAGGGAAAACGTCAAACAACTGCTTCTCAAATGTTAGGTTGCAGTTGATTCATATATTAAGCATGAGTTGGGGTTTACATAGTGATTTATACTGGTGCTGGTTTGTGTGTGTTTGCTGTCTAGGACACTCTGCTGGAGCTGCTGTGTGATGCGGTGGCGGCGGCGGTACGACAGGGGAAGGGTCTTGTGATCAGCGGCTTCCCCAGAGACCTGAGACAGGCTGAGGAGTATGAGGCCAAGGTCAGAGCACCAAGACTGACAGGGAGAGACTGACAGACATGTGGACACTGGGAACATGAATAAATGAAGACAAAGTTCATCATGTATCCACAAAAACTTAAATAAGAGCAAAGTGAAGAGAGACCGTAGAAAGACACTCATCTTGTTTGATTTTGAAACTTTTTTTTTGAGATATCAAATAAATATGACTCATAGTAAAAAAAAAATGGAGATAATGGTTGAAAATAGGGGGCACGATAAACAGAAACATTTGATCTGCTTGTCCCAAGAGCAACAGGTGGAAGAAAAATGTCTTCTTCCTGATGCAGAGTGATAGAGTAACACTAACACTGGTGACCCAACAGTACAGTAACCTACAACATAAAGTAAAAGGGAGGATGTAGCCATCACCTGGACTTGTTGCTGACATTCCTTTTACCCTGTGTGTCAGATGGGGGAGCCCACTGCCGTGCTCCTGCTGTGCTGCACGGCCGACACCATGTCCAGGCGTCTGCAGTGTCGCCGCAGATCCAGCTCCAGCCTCCAGTCCGCCTCAGACAGAGACAGCGCCCTGCACAGGAAGGCTGAGGGCTTCAGCAGCAACAGCCAGGCGGTGACAGCTCATTACGAAAGCAAGAATCTTCTGCACACGGTAAGGTTGTTTTTAGGGCAAAACTTGTTTTTATTGTGTTCATTTATATCCCCATCTCTGCTTAAGTTTATTCACAATTAAAGGGACAGTTCACCCAAAATCAAAAATACATTTTTTTTCCTCTCACCTGTAGGGCTATTTATCAGTCAAGATTGTTTTGGTGTAAGTTGCTGAGTGTTGAAAATATTTGCCATGGACATGTCTGCCCTCTCATACAATGAAGCTAGATGTCAATCGGCTTGTGGTGCTCAAAGCACCAAAAGGTACATCTAAAAAACTCTGGACAGAGAAATCATGACCCTGTTACTCAAGATAATCCACAGACCTTGCTGTTTGCAGTTTCATTCAGGAACTATTTTCTTTCTATCGAGCCACACTTGCCAACTGTATCACTGTGCAGAAGGATGCGTGTATCTACTTCTTGCTCATCTAGCAACACTGATTGATTTTCTCAACTGAAATACAGGGTGAGAAAAAAAGGACAATAAAAACACAAAAAAGCAATATAGCAATACAAATACAATACAACAAATACAAACGTAAAAAAGAAAAAAATTGAAGGGATCTTGTGTAAATTAGTATGAGGATCTATCCACCAGAGTAATTACTTAAAGGAAACAACAACCATTCATGTTACCTCTGGAGTGTGTCTCAAGATTCTGGGGAAGGTAGGTGTTTTATGAACAATGTCCAGTATGACCTCCCACAATTACATTACAATTGCAATACATGTTAAACGTCAGACAGGTTAGATGCTGCTACCTCCATGGAGATTGTCTTGAGAAATGTTTGAAGCCATACTCCCTCTTTCACCTTAATCTGCATCCTTCCACTTCATGGCTGTCAGTCTTTTGGCTGTCATGCATCCAGTTGTTTAACTTTGTTCATTGTGTTTGGACCAGTTTTCTTTAACAGTGTCATTCAAAAGACACATTGCTGGATCACAACAAACAGTAAAGCCAATGATTTTTCCCAGGGATTGTATAACATTTTCCAAGGTTTTTGTTTCAGTGCAAGTCCATATCATATGATAAAAATATATCCTTTATCCTGTTTGCAGTGCCAACGAAGGTCAGAGTCGGAAACACCCATCCTATGCAATCAGCTCCACTGAGCTAGCTAACGTTCACAGCTTAACCAGGAGGACTGCATTGTTTACATTTTTGGCTGTTATGCGCACAAGCCTCACATCCATGAGTAGATGCACACTTCCTTCTGCACAGTTGGCAGGTGTAGTTTGGTTGAAAGAAAATAGTTCCTACATGAAACAGCTCACAACAAGGTGTGTGGATTATCTTGAGTAACCAGGTCATGATTTCTGGAAAGAGACATTGCTGTTGAGTTTTTAAAATGTGTTTTTAGTGCTTTGAGCACCACAAGCTGAGTGCCATCGAGTTTCATTATATTGGAGAGAAGGCAGACATTTCTACGGCTGATATCTCCAATACTCTGTAACTCACACCAGAACAATCTAGACTGATAAACAGCACTACAGGTAAGAGTAAATATGTATGTACTTTACAAGTTCCTCAAGTGTTTTTTGTAGCCAAAGAATTGTACCCAATAGTCCCCAATATTTACCTCTCCAAAAAATTTTTAATGATCCTTTCGGCAGAACTTTTCTACTTTAGATTTTGTGTACTTTGATGCAAAGTACAAGTGTTTGGCTACAAAACAAATTAGGTCTCATGAGCTGTTTAGAGAAAAATAATGCATGAAGATTGTTTTTAATAATGTGGCATGCATACACAAATATGCCCAGTCTGCTTGATGTCACACGAATATAAAACAGAGACAGCGACTCCTCGTGGCGCGCCTGAAAGCATCTGCATGTGTTATCCTTTAATTCATTCAGATTTCCTTTGATTTGTTACCCAAATCAAAGCTTTATAGACAAAGTGAATTAACCTAAAAACAGTAAAGGTAAACGATACAATTTTCAATCATCTCTACAACAGAGGTGATTATTTTAGAACATGTCTGGAGCTCAGAGGTTAACTTGCTGTGTGTTTCGTGCCTCTACTCCTTTCACTGACGTTTCCATCGACGTGAGGGTCAGGAGCTAATCACAGAATTTCTGTTCAGGGGTTGTACTGTTCCTTTTAAAATGAGCTGTTTGAACGTTTAAATGCCACGTCAGGTGTTGTGTGTGTGTGTGCGTGCGCAAGCTTAAATGCCACAGCAGGTTATTGAGGTCACCAGTCTGCTGTGAGCTTGTGCAGGTTGCACTTCAGCAGACTGCATGTGAAGACACTGATGGGTTTTGAAAGGCCTCATCTCAGCCAGTTTGTCTCCGTCTGCAGGTTGACGCCGAGACGTCACCAGATGATGTGTTTGCCCAGATCTGCCAGGTGATGGAGACCTTCTGATTTCTACAATTTCCTCAACACTACCACCACCACCACCACCACCTTGCACACCCCTACACTCTTCTCTCCAGGAGGTCCACCTGTGAAGACCTTTTCTCTCCCTGTCTCTGGAGACCCGCACCCACATAACTTCACATCTGCGCCAGACATATGCTCATTGAACTGTGTGGTATGCATGCCCCCAAACACTCCCAACAATCAGTGAAACCTTCTGCTTTTGACACTGATGAAGCGCCTGGTTGTCACAGTCTTTGCTTCACCCACTTGCATTGTCTCTTACATTGACCTCAATATATGCTGCCAACTGCCGGACTGAGGCAAATAACTGTACTGAGAAAAATAGCATACCCTGCTGTGACTGAGAGCATGTTTTTAGTTGAATGTAAAATCCCTCTGCCATTCTCTCCCCCAAAGGAGCCGAGAGAGGGTGTTCCCGTCGTGCCGGAAAGTGGAAAAATCAGTGTGTGCTCATGCTCTCATGCACAGCAACATGCTTTGTATCGTAACAAGCATGCAAGAATTACAATCAAGCTTAAACTGCCTTTTGTGCATTTAAATAAAAAGCAGCAAAGAATTAAGAGTATTAAAGATTATTGCATTTGTATGTTTCCAAGCTCATCGTACAGGTGCTTGTTTGAGTCTGGTATTTAACATTCAATAAAGCCAGTGCATTTGCTAAATGGAGGATTTCTGAGTGCCTGCTTTGGTGTTTTGTGTTTGTGTGTTTGTGTGAGTGTGTGCGCGGAGAGGGAAAGGTCACAGCTGATCTGATAGCACCATCTGCTGGTGAGGAGATCACAACAAAAAAGTGCTGTAATTATGAGATAAAGGGATAAGAGGTTCAGCATCACTGTTTAAAATGCACAGAAACATAACTTGTTAGTCCACATTTAAGCTGATATAATACATGGATCCAACATCAGCAAAATGACCTTTAACTGCAGCACTCGGATTGTCAGGGAGTGTTTGAAGTGACTGCCAAAGGTCACCTGTGGGGAGCATGAACAAAGAAATCAGGCTCTTGAACATTTTCACATTTTCTCGATGACACCTGGAGGTTCATGAATTGCTTTCATTCTGAAATAAAAACTGTTTTTACACCAAATATTTAAAGAAACCATAGAGGCACAAACATGAAACAACACAGCAGGTAGAGGAGATGGTGAGTTAGCTGTCGATCATTGTGCTTACCAGTTAATGAGGAGTGACCAGTATGACATCACTAAACACATTTTCAGTGTATGTTGTTTCCTTTTGAAGTTGTGGAGAATGATTACTGTAACAGTCTTATTGGCATGGAATCAGATCACATATATTGAACTTCAAATTACATTAAACATTCCTGAAAGACTTGCAGTATTTTGCATTCATCATGGCTGTGATCATGGCAGCAATCTTAATTACAATTTCTTGATTAGGGAAATACAGGTTTTCGGAACTGCCTCTTGTATATCTGTCCAGAATACATTACTGTGCTGAAATGGCAATCCTGATTTTCAGTGAATCGTCTGAGACAAATATTGTTCGTCTTTAAAATATGAGAATCTCACACTTTTCTGTTTCATATCCCTTTTTGGATCTGAGACTGTTAAGTCGACATGCGAAAACAAGGAAGCGAGGTGTTTGGCTCGCAGGTTTTCATTTAATAGTTAACTGAAAATGTGTTAAACGCAGCTGTAGTGGATTTAACTTGATATTTTAGATGAAGACAAAGATTCAATATTGAAGCGTCAATCAATCATAACTTGTTCAGGCAAACAAAATTCTGATTAGTCACAATTGTGCTAGGGCTGCATCTAACAGTTATTTCCACTATGAATTTATCTACATTATTTTCTTGATTAAACTTTTGACCTATAAAATGTCAGCAAACAGTGAAAAATTAGTCACTTTTCCCGAGTCCAAAATTATCTTCCAATGGTTTTTTTTTTTAAATCAAAAGTCTAAAACCAAAAATATTCAGATTACAATGATACATTTTCTTTTATTTTTTCTCAACTAATTGATGCGGCTCTGAACTGCAGGACCGTATGCTGTGTGGAGTGACCTTCAAGATTAATAATAATAATACATGAACCACAGGTGTAGAAACACTATTTTCACATACTTTTATTTCCACGGTTCTCCTCTAGCATTTTTTTTTACATTATTATTATTTTTTTTTTTTTTACATAAGAACAGACTGTTATACACAGATATTGAAGCAGGGCAAAGGGGGTGAGGGAAGGAGACGAAAACCATACAAAATGGTGTCTACTCAAGCACAACAAAATCTATGTGTATAAAATTGTGTGGGTTGTTCCACTGTGGAGGCACCAACCACTACCTCAATTCTTTTTTTTTTTTTTAAATAGATTAATAAAAATACAATCTTTTAAATGGACCTTTTAAAGTGGACTGCAAAATTAAAGAAGATCTAGAGGCATGATGACTGGATTGATAATGTAGGACAATGTGGGTCAATGGCGCCACGCACAAAGGGAGAAGTTGTGGCCAGGTTCAGAGGTGGAATTCCCCCTCCCAAAAAAAAAACAAATGTCTTTTTTAAAAATGGCACACAGCAACTAGCGCTGGCTACTTTTCACCATATACTTGTACACTCAACATGATCAACAACGGCACACATTAGGGGAGGAGAAAAAAATGAAAACAAAAACAGTCTTTTCCATACGTTCCCATTCGCCTGCCTTCAAAAACATTTGCTCTCCGTGCTGTAGTGCTTCCTTGTTAGACATGTTTTAGTGGAGAGAGCAAAGGGAAAGGAAATAGAGATGAAAGTGTATGTCAGTGTGTGTGTTTGAAATGTGAGAGAGCAGCGTTGTGTGACAGTGGTAGGGATGGCTCCATGCTGAAACATGGCGCACAGTCCGTTTAACACATCCAGGTCTGTCTGCAGAACGTCATGTGGATTAGCAGAACTTCCTACGGTCTGCAGCCGAAAACACACCGACCTCGGCGTCACGCTCCACACCGCCTAACTTATCTCGCAGCAACTCCCCACAGAAGAAGCTGCAATTCATAAATACTCAATCTACGGGTACCTAGCTAGAACATTTTCACTCTTGCATAACACGGAGACCACATACACACATACAAACCACCTATGTGTATCTCAGTTGATGACTTCACAGTCCACTATGACCACACATCTCCATTAGGTGGCGCTTCACCACACTGATCGTCAATTCTCCAGTTTCGAAGCAGCACAGGGAGGTAAACTGGAGGGCGATGAGGGGAAAAGGGGACAGCCCTCCTGGAGTCACAGAGCTCGGGAATGTCGGTGTGCCTTCTGTTTGTTTGTTTGTTTTTTTAAAAATAGTGTATCGTTTCAAATCACAGATCCATTGATTAACCTGGCTGAGGTGGAGCAGGGCCCCCTTGTTCTGAGGAACCAACATGGCCGCCCTTCGCTTGAGTCAGGGAGGCCAGTTTACCAACAGCCCCCCCCACCAGCAGCACCGTGGTCTGCTTTGAGGCCCCTGGCTGTCTACCTGCCTTGCTGGCCTTCCTGCCTGGCGGCGGGTTAAGCGGTTATCTTGGACTTGGAGGATGGAGCCATGCACAGAGTGACCTGTGGGATATGTGGAGAGAGCCTGGAGCTAGAGGCGCCTGGGACCCTGTCATCTGTTGGCTGGAAAGTAGTTAGGGTCCAGGTAGTTGTAGCCTGTGCTCTGCGGCAGGCAGTAGTCCCTGTCCAGAAAGGTGTCCGGCTGGTGCACTGGCTCTAGGTGGTGGTTCGGCTTGTGGGTCTCTGTCTTGAACAAGCTGGAAGACGAGCAGGACAAAAAAAACATCAGTGGAAAAAGTCACATAATGCCTGAAGTAAAGGGAAAAGTACGTGATAATTGTCTGAGAGAAGAGCAGCTAAACAATTTGTCTTTAACCGACACTTCAATTGGGCTGTGTATTCAAAATCAATACCTGCTGACTGCTGTGTTTTTCTATCTATTTAAAAGGTATCACCAAGCACACAGAAGATTGTTACAAAAATTCAAAATGATCCAATTAAAATAAGTAAACAGGACTATAATGCAAGATCAATATGTATCGTTATAATGTCCCAAACAGCTCCTAAGGGCTTGATCTGAGCATATTTTATTGGAAAAGCAATCAAAATTAACCCGATCAAATGCTGATCCTGTCTGTATTGTGTTGTACTGTGTTCTGTCCACCTCAGCCTGCAAGAGCTGCAGTGCTGCTGTTATTAACACAGCTAAGCTTTACAGTGCCAGCTGTATGAATTATAGTATATAAATGTGAAAAATTATTTAGGCGAACAGAGTTATTAGTGACTGAGTTTAGACACTGAGGAAAACAAAACACAAAGATTCGCTCAACTCCGACTCCAACAAATCTGTTGTATCTCCTATTTTTGTTATTAGCAAGCAGCAGTGTACAAATCATTCAGAAAACAGCCTCAAATATTTAGCCGGCATTAGCCAGTTATAATAATAAACATCACTAGCAGCAGGTCATACAAGCTGCCGCTTATTAATGTTTCTTTTCTCTGGTTAAAGAGACTTACTGATCAAATCATGTCAATTTTAGGAGTTGCATTATCTCAGTTAAACTTTCATTAATATCAGATTGTTAATTATAAGATTATAAACTTGACTATTTTTAACCAGGACCTCCAATATTTAGATCAAGTGTGCCAAATTTAGTAGCTATTTTAATGTGGCTAACATACTATTAATCAACATATAGCTACTGTACCGCTATATATCCAGTATTTAAGAACCCAGATCAGGGCCACAAATAATTATCGGGAAATCTCCAGTGGTAACATTTACATTTCTTGAAATTTTATTGCAAAAACTATTTATGGTCTGTTTTTGAAAATGTAACACCTGATAAATAAAGCTGGATCACCACAATGATGTAAAACTTATACATATTCCCTTCTGCCATCAAGATGTCAGGCCCTTTCACTTACCAATTATGGGATTGTTACCACAGTATGAACTATGAAAACATATCTTATGGTATAAAAAATTAATATAATTTTAATGTATACATCACCACTTTGTCCAACCCCAACTACCAGTTCTGTATGTGATAAATGATCTCACCAGTCAGAGCAGTTGGAGCAGAAATCTACCGAGTTATCTTGAGGACAGTCCTGACAGTGCCACCGCACTCCCTGGATGGGCTCCATGCCACAGACATCACACTGTGCAAACACACACACACGCAACATCTTCAGAATGCAATTTTGGAAAAAGTTGAAACATTAACTGCTGGGGAAAACTGTCTTTGATGAACTGATTAATAATGGGACAGAACATCTGAATGTCCAATGCCCAATGCTATAATGTCATGTCACAGATAAGGCAGTATTTCGGATAAGGAAATTCTACAGTAACACTACAAAGCATGACACTAATAATGTAAAATATCGATGAAGCTGCAACTGCTGTATTTCATTGTCATTTTCAAGCTTAAAAAATGTCAAAAGTAAAAATGCATTTTTAATGATTTAGTTTTTATTTACAAGCTGCAACCAGAGCCAACATTTCTCTACTGTTACACAGCCTCCTCTCCTTTCACTGTGTGCTGCATTGCAGGACAATATATCAACATCACATTAAAAATGGAGCACTTTCAGGGTGGATGCTGTGCTCTTTAAAACACTCCTTGTACCGTTTTCTGTTTTTACAGTGTTGAAATGCCACATACTCAAAACTGTTAGAATTGGTGTATAGTGTGTAACTACACACAAACTGCCCCTGTAGACCAACTGACTGCATAATCCCTTTGACTCAGGATTTAATTTAATTACCTCTCATACACTGAGGGCAAATTTGTATGTGCAAGCCTGGCTTTAATGGTGTGTGTGTGTGTGGTGTGTGTGTGTTGTACAGAACTGTGCAAAGTTCTCACCTTGTAGCCTACATGTCGCACCCCAGCCTTGTCCTCATGGATCTCCTGGAGCGCCTGTTTTTTCAGTCGCTTCAGCTCTAAAAGCTCTTTGTACTCTGGCAAATTTCTCAGCTCCACAGGTATAGTCTCCTCATCCTGAGCGTGAGGGGTGGAAAGACAAACACACAGAAATGTGCACATACAGAAAGAGACAGAGAGAGATGTTGACTGATAGGCATCAGGACGTGTACACAGACAAAACATCTCTACATGACTCCAGGGATCCAATCTGATAATGATATCTCTAGATGTTTTATATGCTGCTGCCACTATCGATCAATCTATTTTTGGCTGAACAAGAGAACATATGCATAAACACCAATCTGGGTTTTCTACTGTTTGGGCATTATTGTTGTAGTAAGCAGAGATTGTCTTTCGGCTGAAAGTACACGAGTGCAAACGTCTGTCTCCTACACAAAGAAAGCTTATACCCACCTCCACCTTCACGCAGAGGGAAGAAACTTTAGAGATGAAAAAAGTGTCAAAGTGCAACATTTTATTTTTGTCAAAACTATCAGTCGCACTTCCAGGCCTCGACAGGAAATGGCTTTGTGAGATTCCTGCCAAGCTGCCGACGCATTTGCCCTCAACAGGCTTTCACTCCTTCCTGCAAACACGGCCAAAGTAAAGGACAACCTGCTGAAGTGAGAAATTATTGTGGCCCATGCTGGCAGCACCTTTGTGCCTTTACTTCATACCGGCGGTGTCAGAGGTTTTGTTAATGCGCTGGTGGAGGCGGCAGCCTGTGTTCTCAGCAGGGCATGGCGACCCGGTTTTACTTAAAGGTTACTGCCTTCAAAAGGGAGAGAAAGAAAATGTCAGCGCTTGGGTAACGGCGAGCGTCAGGAGTCGCATAGTTCAAATGGAAAGAGGCGAGGCTGGCAGCCCCCCCTCCGCTCTGATTTAGCCATTTTCAACAGAACATGCTGCCTTGATTGAAGTGACAAAAAGGGTGCAGACGTGCGCAATCGAGCCAAATGCCTTATTTCACCAAAAGGTGTTAATGTGCAGTTAAGAGGGACAGTCTGTCATGTAAAAGCAGACGTATGTGACAAGGCAGGGAGCTCAGGAGCAGTTGCTTTCTTCACTTTGTCTTGTCAATGGATTTAGATAGACAAATCAGGTATAAACAAGCTCCCCAAGGCACATAACATGCAGCTTTTACCTGTCTTTATCTTACAGGTCACTGCTTACATGAGGAGAGGGTGAGACTGTGGATGGTGAGAGAGAGGAGGGAATGTGAGCCTGTGATAAGCTTAATTAAGCAGCAAAGTGCCACAGCCTGCTTGGTGACCGGTGAAATGAAAGAGTCGGGGATCAGTTACAAGATAATCTTGCAGGACAAATAAATGGGTGTCGGTATATATTCAAAGGTTTACTATACAGGAACTGCCAACAACAGTAAACAATATTGCAAGCAAAAATGAAAGCCAACCCCCGATTCACTCTCATTTGGAACAAGCTTTGTCTTCTTGCTTTGCTATATTTGTGAGGGTTTTCATCGCCGTTTCTGCAATTTTTAAGCTTCCTCTTGGACGCCTGCTGCTTACGGTCTGGCACCTGGTCCGTACTGTGCACAGGATCATCCCAAACACAGCAGAATATGAAGGAAGAAAATAAAAAATACAGGCAGAGGGCAGAGTCTCTGCACAGAAATACATCCTCACACATTTCTAGATGGTCATACATGATGACTAAGAGGAATTGCATGGCATACCTTCAAAAATAAAGAAGAGGCATTGTGGCTTTAGTGTTCTGTGATGTGAAAGAGGACTAACCGAGTCATCAGCAGAGGGGTCCTGCACGCTGCTGTAGTACGCTGAACGCTCGTCATCTTCATCCATGTAGACCGGAGGCTCATAGGAGGTCAGGAAAGTAGACGGCCGGTACAGGTGCTTGTTGAGGTGGTGCTGCCTCTTACTGGATGCCTGGGGAACAAACAGGTACAGTAGCAAGAGCAGGCAGTTTTAAACAAGTCTTCTTTAACATTGTTGCTTAAAAAAGGGCTTGAGAATATAGGTGAAATCAATATCATGAGATATGATGATGTGGCAAAACCATGCAGAATGACAGCGATGCTCAATAAAACGAACCGTGTCCCACTGTTATTAGTGTAGTTGATGGATTCTTTACACATTTTTTAAACAAAACCTGTTATTAAAGATTTTGTTAAAATGGTTATTGACTTGCAAATTGCACTATATAATCATGGCACAATATTGAACTAATAGCCCAGTCCTTACTTACAGACATTTAAAGAAAGTAATTGTTTATATGACATTAGTGGCTCATTATTAGTTCAGTGTGGTTCAGGGGTTTGGTAAATGAGTGCAAAATGAGTAAACAGTTACCTTTTTAGTGTACATGCACAGGTTGGGTGTTCTTCCAGGGACAGGGATACCAGCTTTTGTCAGTTTGATGAAGTACTTTTGAACCCTACTGGCAACCTGGAATGTTTCAACAGGAAAACGTTCTGCGTTAATGATTTCCAACTGAGGAAAAGCTGCTTCAAGTAACTGAGGTCGTGCAAATGTATGATCCAAATTCTTGCAGGGGATCTTTGCCTACTAGTATGGCAAAGTATACACTCAATGCAATTTAACATGTTTGCATAGTAAAAGCACAAAGATTTATCAATATCAGGACATTGCTAATTAAAGCCATGTAGACAAGGTCGGTTACCGTTCACATATTAACTGGTACTGGTTGCAGTACCTGTAATTCAGTACTGGTACTTTACCTTCTCTGTAATAACAAAAATGTACTTTTTAAACAAGCTGCAGAAGTGACATAGTAGACTAAGAAGCCATTATGCACCGCTGCTCTTTTCTAATCAAACACTGAGCTAATCCTCTGTCTGTCTACTTGTGTGCATCTATGTGTGTCTGCTCATCTAGCGGTGATACAAGCCTATTACCACAATAATATAGAAAAGAAAATAGACCAGATGCTATAACTACTACAGTAGATCGGCAGTACAGTGATAGTTTTGGCTCGCTGGCAAGCCTACAGAGTGGCCTCGGGGCTCCGTGGACGGCTTTCTTAGCCTGGTGAAACCATCCTAATCTCACGAGCAGATCAGTCTAGCCATGCAATCATAAAGGCGTATTCTGGCAACGGTTAAAGCTTACCGGGCCAATCACAACCGTTTATTACTTTGGGGCGGGTTATTTGAAATCATGTCATCAGAATTCGCATTTTGCGAATTGGGTCTGGCAACGCCAGGCTATGGCTTTCTGGCTTTTGGGCACTTCCGCCTCCTATCTGAAGTTGAACCTAGCGGCTCCGCTGAGGTCTGGTGCCTGCCTCAGAGCTCTGTGGCTGGCTTCAGGGCTTCGGGGTGACTTTTGGAATTTCTGCCTCTTGTCTAAATCTGGCGTTCTGACCCAGATGCACTGTCAGGTACTGACATTTGGCACCGAGGGATTTAATGTGAAGTGGTCAGGTTCAGGTATAGGTTTAGTAGGGTAATGAAATTTGTTGCTTATCTGAGGTGAATTCTTTCTACAAGTCTCACCAGTTTACTCTGTAAGAAGTTGTTGTGTTTATATCATTTCCAAATGTGCAAATAAACCAAACATTCTGAACTAAGCATGTACTAAGTGTGGATCAGCATTTCATTCAGTTCATCCTAGCTCTCTTCGTCACCTGTTTTGCTGTTCGATTGCCAAGCTCATCTGCAATCTTCTGCCATCTTCTGGACTCTACTTCCTCAGGAGGGAACTTAACGAGAAGCTGCTCTAATTTTTTCTATCAAAACAGAAAAAAGCAACATGTTAAAAGCATGATAGGACAACTATTTTTACTGGATAAATAAAAAGTAGGCTGAAAGTTTAATGTATTTAATATGATGCTTTTATCACATCATTATTATTATCATTATTGATATACACCATTCAAACACAGCCACAAGAGGGTAGCAATAATTGTTACAAGTCTGGGTTGCTTATTAAAAGAAACTAATGTAAATTTAGCCCTCATTTTACACTAATCCTGCATTTTACACTAATTCTGCACATTTCAGACATTCAATAAAAAAAACTGATTCATTTTCTGAATTTAAAGAGAGAAATGTTTCAGTGCAATCCTGCAGACAGAATTATAGTACTACATCTGACACACGTGGTACCTACCTGTTCCTCCACAGTCCACAGCTGGTTAAACGTGTCAGACTTGTTTGGGTGACAAATCCTCCCTCTGATCATCTGTCAAGAAAACACGAGTGACAGGCATGTTAAAGATACAAAAATAATGGGCACTGCACCATTTGAACAGATCTGCGCATATGAACTGCCTGGCACACTGAATCCGTCAGTTTGACAGACAAAGCCCGGCTGTCAGATGAGACTCGAGATGTGTCATTGGGAAGACGCAGAAAAACAGCAACACTTTTGACTGACAAACAAAATCCTGTTAGAATTCAGAGTGTAACCCTGGAGAATGCAAATGTGACTGCACAATATAAACAGGGAGAGCCACAGAAATAATCAAGTTGTTTGCTCAGTGCCAAACGCTTGGCGTCTTCTAATCCCAACAATCAATCAAAAGTGAAATCTTACTGCCTATACAATGTAACAAAAGACACACACAGACACACACACACACACACACACACACACAACAAAGGGCCAAGAATAAGACGTAATCAGAGGTGTGGGAGAGGCGGGCTCCTCATGTTTCCATAGATACCATCTTTTGTGCTCACATGTGCTGCATGCTTAACTCTGCCGAGCAGCAAGAATGGGGGAGATGAAATCAGATGGAGGCCGTGGCGTGTAAAATTGTAATAACCTTATGATTTGTAGTCTAGCCTGCAGGAGATGGGTGACTCACCAGCTACAGTTATGAATGAATCTGCATCTAATGATATACGGGGACGCAATCACAGCAGCATGTGTGTCCTCTACAGGTTATATTAGTACAGAGGCAGAGTCATACCTGCGTTTGCCTGCCATTCTCTGGAGCGTCACTAGTGGGCAGAGAGGAGTACATGGTGGAGGATTCGCCTTCCTTCTTAGGCTCCACGGGACTTTTTGGTCGAGCAGGCAAACCTAAAGTCAGGCAATGAGCAGAATTAGTATTTTTAAATGGCAGAAGAAATCTCTCTCTGGTGTTTACACTGATTTTAATACACACACCAACACACAGACAAAAAGTAATGTATACATGCCTTGGTCAAAGATCAGCTTTAGCCGCCTGGTTTTGCGTTTCTTGTCACAGAACTCTCTCTCAAAGTCCCCGAGGCCTGAGGTGTACTGCTCCCATCCAATTTCAGGGAGCTGGACGACTCGCTGAGGACACGGCAAGCCCAAATTAACCTGAGGGTCACAAGGATTGAGGGTCAGATTCTGTTAACAAGTAACTATCCTAACAACATCCTAACAAACTATACTACAACATGTTACATATTTGACAACATATGAGGAACAAACACTGTAAGACAAACATTTATGTTTTGGGGCATTTTCTACTTTTGTTAGGTATGCTTATGTTTTGATAAGTTAAAGGAGGAGTGTGGGGGATTAATACATAATACCACATAACCACATAATCCCAAGAAACTAAGAATCCCTGTGTTTTTGTTGGCTTACAATGAGCCCTTCATACATTCTACATCTGAAGCGGGTCCTCTTCCATTGAGTCCCCCATGTTGCACTGTCATGTTTCTACAGTAGCGTAGAATAGAACAACCAAACACTGGCTCTTGAGAGGGTCTTATGTGATTTTATGTTACCTGAAGGCCACCGTAGGTTCTCTTTCATGCTTGGAAAGGGAGGGGTATACATTTAGTTGCAGGTCTACACCAAATAGTTTGATGCTTCATAACACTGACGTTCAAATTCTAAATCATGTTTGAATGCTGCTCAGCTGCTTTTTTTGTACTGATATTTCTGCACAGTTTGGAGCCAATCTGCACATAGCAACCCTAAAAAATATACATGTAACAACCACCGAACATGACCCAACCAGCAAACTGCCAACTTTTAAATTATTGTAGCACAACTGTCAGGACTGAGACAAAAACAGAAACAAGGACTGAGTGTTGGATGTGTGTGTTATCGTGCACGCGAGGGAGGACAAAATCGACTATTGCTTGTAATGTTTCTCTAAGTTAATAACTTATGTGGAACACCTGCTCACCAGCGCATGTGATGTTTTAAGCATACTCAAAGCCACCTGACCCACTCACAGGTGGGTTCAAAAACATTTTCGCACGGTCAAAAAGCTGTTTGCTCTCCAGCTTGCCACACCTGTATTAACAGGGCGTACTGGCATCAATCTAACAGCACCACAAACTACGTTTTTTTTAAATAAAGAAAGTTGATTTAACTAAAGAATAACTAATTTAATCTGATAAAAGACTTTAATCAAATAGAGAATGCTGTTAGAGGAGTTTCAATGATGTCATAAAATATATCAACAGACATTTGAAGCTTCATTTGAAAACCTTCATAGGAGCTTCGAACCTTAGAAAGACTTTTAGTACAGGCCTAGTTGGTTGCAATCTGCAACCTCACCTCTAGATGCCACTAAATCCCACACACTCATCCTTTAATCCTTTTAATTAATCTGTGCTTTTATAAAAAGCACAAAGTCTAGGCATAGCTTAGTATACTTTAAGTTAGCACACATTACAGCCATTTTTTAAAAGATTTTTACAAATAGATCCCTAATCAAGGAGCAAGAAATGGGCCTCCATTCTTAAACTTAGATTCACAGAAAGGTTCCACATGATTTCACATCCTCACTTTATTTTTCTTGTATGCACAATATCCTTGTTTCCGCACACAAATTAACATACGCTCGAGTGAAAAAAAAGCAGGCACTTACTTTTTACCCGACTACACAAACATATGAATCTATTTACCTTGACATTTTATCAAGTAAGCAGTCAAAAGCAGAAAAAAGGTGGACAGTGTGCACATCCTGGCCCAGTTGTGAACAGGTGCAGAACACAATCTGAGTCATACAGTGGAAAAGGAGAACCCTGCACACTGAATTTTACAAGCTCCCAAATATTTATTCGAGCAACGTTTCAACCAGTGAGATACTCCTCAGGCAAAAACCCAAGAACAAGATCTTATGTGCCATGTCTCAGAGAGGGGTTGATGCAGAGTGAATCACTACAGATTTCACACAACTCGTGCACAAATTGTTTGTTGTACACATTTGAACATACACTCTGGCCCCAGTCCAATTCAGCAGCCCTGCTGTAACACCTATCCTTATGGAGCTCAAAATTTTTGCTGACACTGATGGAAATGTGTAAACTCAATTATGTTTTTTTTTTGTGTTTGTGTTTCTAATTATGTTGTCCTTCCCATTTACATACATGAGAGGGTCAAAAATATTAAAAAACACTTCTCAAGGTAATGCAGTCTAGTACAACACCATCACAAACTGTGACCTAAATACTAAAACATACTGAAGTAAAATTAATGCGTCAATGTAAAAAAACAAAAAAAACAAAAAAAAAAACCTGAACACAATAGGTATCGTAAAAGCAGGCACTCCCTGGCTCTGTGCTTTTCACTTTACCAAGGACACACTCTGTATGTTTGTTACCCGTTTCTGCAGCTGCTCCACAAAGCTGATGGGATCGCTGAGTGCCTCCCTCTGGTGACGCGCCAACGTCTCCAGGTCCAGGATGGCCTGCGTGCGCTGGGCCTCGAGAACACCGATGGTCTGCAGCAGCCTCTGATAACTGACACGGAGGGAAGCCAGGTCAGACAACAGTGGAGGGGAGGGACTGCTTACATTATTCAACCTGACACTTGCAATGCTGCAGTGCATCAAACTTTTAGACCACAGACAATGAATAATTCAACCATGGAGCTGAGAACTTAAATACTTGCACAAGACACAAACCATTTCCTTTCCACTTATTTTGCAAATAATATGTTTGCAGGAGTTTGCATGAGATAGAAATGGTGCATCTCAAATTAGCTGCTTTGGAAAATAACACCTTTAGAGTTACTTTCTTAGTGTAGCCCATCAAGAAGTGCAGCCAGTAAATGAAAGTTCAAACGGTAAGAGAAAATGCACTTTAACCACTAAAACACTTTTCTGATCTGTAACTGCGCACATCACTTATATTTCATAGCAATATCAAAACCTTTGCATGACAAACACTTGGGTTTTACAGTGCTCGAGGAGCCTTCCACGCTGTACAAGTCTGACCTTTCCACTCACACCCTCTGGGGCAACAGAAGAGCTGCAAACTGAGCTGTCAATGACTAAGTGTGGTACTGACTCAGAGGCCCTACAGTGTGGGCAGAGCAGGAAGAATCGACAGGAATGTGACAGCATCCTACATGGCCATAACCTAATGTAAGTGCTCAGTGAAGCAGAGTGGATCAATCTCCCCTAACAGGACATGAATGAAAATCAATGCAGAGGACACAATTTATTCAACAGCTGCCGGTGATTTGAAATCCTACAAGCAAAACATTCAAACAAGCCAAGTGTGTTTAACCTCATATCCTTTCATTAGTTACAGACACCATCCTTTCACGCAACGTGGAGCTCTGCTGACCTTGTACAGGCACCAGTAAATGCTGTGCTTCAGTGCAAACTGCAAATCTGTCACTGCAGCAGTGGCACATAAACATACTACTGCACATTTCCTGTACAAGAGTCATTCTGATTCAAATGTAAGACCTGTGCACAAGACATGAGCAAGCATGCTGACGTCCTCAGATGAACAGATGATCTCTACATTAATCAATTTAAGAGAAATGAGGAGGACTTGGCTCTGCTCCTCAGCACTCTGGACTCCCGCCAGGTGTCCAGGGACAAACCTGGCGTACCATTGCCACCTACTGGGCCTGAGGTCCACTGAAAAACACTGGTGCCAAATGAAAAACTGGCCAGGACAACGGTGTTGCTACATTAATGCCTGATTATCAAGGACTGTGGTTTGCTTTTTAAAATATTTACATGAAATAGGTAGAGGGAACTGTGTCAAAATAGACAAAGCTGCTAGATGACAATACACAATGTTCTGTATGCACATTATCAATCATGTCCATGTCAATTCTCCATATTCAGCAACCCTAAAAATGCCAAGTCATTCTTCTCTAAAGATGACTCCTCACTGCACTGATCTGAGCCTTCAAATATTCTCCTTACTCAGCACGACCTAAAACTTGGCATGTCACAGAAACTTGATCGAATTACTGTGCAATACGAGAGCAGTGAAATCTTACTCTAGAGCCATTCTCCGAATTTGAAACTTTCACCAATAATGGTGTCAAAGACAAAGGGACGTCAGCTGATGATGTCTCTGAGCCCCCACAGCCCTCTGCCCCTCCTCCCATGAAGATGCATCGTGTATCAGCTGACCTGCCACAGTGCAGTTAGCAGTGCCTGACTGAGCGCAGCATGGGATCTGTCCACAAATATAAAAATCCCATCTTGTCTGATGCCTGACAACACAACTAGGAACAAAGCCCCCACGCCGAAAAACCCTTCTCCTCTAAAACAACTCATCTTACTGAGAAAAGAGAGGACGGAGGCAATCAGCAGAGTAATTTTAACATCCAATCTCAGTGGGTTTTGGAAAGCTGACAATTGGCAGCTAATTCACACAATCACGGCACCAGATTGAAGGTGGAAATTAAAGGCTGAAACATGTAAAACCTGAACAATAAGACAGGAGCTATAGTTAGATGCTCATCGATAGTCCCGTAATAACTGAGAGAAGCCTCCAAAAATAACTGAGATAATTAAACATTCTGTCTAAGTGTTGCTGCTGCAAAAACCCAGACACACTTGTATTAGTTGTGTTCTTTCCTTTGTTTTAGAAGGTAAGGTAACACTCACAGGGCTGAAAGATAAATCTCAGGGTTTGTGCGGAAGGAAAGAAGAAAAATACTGTTCTGCCCGCTCACATTTTTTATTCCTGTTTTTCCTGACTTTTCTCTAACCTTTGCTAATTTCACGGGCAATAAGAAAGTTGAATGTTTTACCTCGAGGCCATTAACGGTTATTTAAATAAATCAATTCAAAAGATGTAGAGGAGAAAAAAGCTTGTCAACCTATTCAACCTGTGAGGAGGGGTCAACTTTGAATTTGTTGAATCTGATTTGGCTGTTCAATATGAATATTTGACTATTCTTTTTTTCATATAGACTATCAAGTAATACTTTAGTGAACAGCCAGATTTTTGAAGAGGTTTCGCCAGGATGTTCAAGGTGACAGTGACATTTATGTAGCAAAGAATAGGGTTGTGAATCTCAAGTTTCATCACAATATGATATTATATCCTTTTTTGGACAATTTTATGATATTTGCTGATATCACAAAGTCTGCCATGATATGATTTCAGTTCAATTCAATTTCTTTCCAGGGCCTGTGATTGATAAAATCCAACATTAGAATATATCCTTGCTGTCTTTTTCTTGACTGCTTCCCATTGTCTGCCTGGTACTAGGTTGCTAGCACTGTTTGAAAGTTTAGGAAGGAGGTGTGCTTGGATGGAAGTAGTGACACAGACGTGCCAGGGGAAATTTCAAAATAAAAGCGAATCTTAAAGATGACGATATCTATCAATGTTTTCACTTTGCATCGTGTTACAACCCAGTAGGAGTCTAGGGGTAAGGGAAGCAACATAAAACCAGACAATGAAAGTAAAGTGAATAAGGCATATGAATCATATTGGATTGTTAATCATTAAATCGATATATCAGTCCAGATCAATGTTTTGCTACACCCCTGGTAAACAAGCCAGCTTACCCTCTGACCTAATGCGTGCTAGATATCAAACAAAAGTCAAAGACTATGCTAAATTAAGTTGCTGTAAGCTGTAAATTCAACACTTTGGAGCAGAGGGCAGAAGATAACGTCATCTCGGAGCCTGACTGGACAAAGCCTCTCTTCCTCCGGGCAGCTGCCTCCATCTCACACAGGCTCACCATGGGTCTGGGTCTGTACCCACCATTGCACACATCTTCCCTGAGTGAAAGTGACGACTTCAAATAATGTAACGATTCTACCCTGGAGAGCAGCGTGAAAGCGAGGAGCACTAAATCTGCAGCCACTTTTGGGGACCGAAATGTCCCCAGAAGTAGCTGCACACTGACTGGCGATGAAATGCGTAGTTTGCCGCAAATTTGAGAGCTGGCTGATAAAATAGGGTCATTTTGACTCTCTGTTCTTGTTCATTTACTTAGCCTGGGAGTTTACATGATAATTAATTTTAGTCTCTGTTGTTACTCTAACTGCTAATAAATGCAACAATTTGTACAAGGGCAAGTAGATTCCTGAATCTCTTGCCTGACCAACCAAAAAAAACCCTTAACTTAAGCATAGTCAGTGATGTTTTGGGCACAATAATACTAATTTTCAGACATATTTATGACTTAAGTAAAAAAAATCCTTAAGGTTTTATGTTCAGCTCTTTCAAGACATCAGAATATTCCTGGCAAAGACAAATCCTCATCAACTCAGATGCATGCCCGGTTCATTCAAAACCATAGACCAGAAGTAATGCAATGATCACAGAATACAGTGATCAACATGTGTGAGAGCTACATCAACAAAAGATGAGGAGAGAGCAGAATCCCCGGGGAGCTCCCACATACTCTTTGTTGTGTTTAAGAGCTAGGTGGTCCGACTCAAAGTAATACACGTCTGGCTCCTCCTCTTCCTCCTCCTCCTCTGCTGCCTGGCTCTGTGTCAGCTCCATGCTTTTCTCAGCCTCTTTGCCCTCCACAGTCATACTGTCCTCACCACCTGCCCTGTCTCCAGGATCCACGGAGACTGGCTCCTCACTGGAGGGGCCGACAGAGTCTGAGGGAGCAGGTTCCTCCACCACAGGGCAGTCCTCCTCCAGCCCAATCACCACCTCCCCCTCTTCCCTCAAGGGACCATTGTCTCTGGGGGGAGAGCTGAGCTTGGAGGAGGCCTTGCCACCAGTGGCAGCCCTCCTGGGTGAAGTCCGCAGGGTGTATCTGTGTTCGTAGAGCTCTGTGAAAGAGGGGGGCGTGCTGGATATTGAGGGGTTGCACCCTGGCTCTGTGGGGGAGGGGGTTGTTGCTAGTGGGGGTGTAGTTTCTCCTGAGTTGCTGTTGTTGTTGTTGTTGTTGATTGGACTACTGTTCATGTTGGTGGTAGTGGAGGAGGTGGAGGCAGCAGCTTCCTGCACTGGTGTTGGCGGCCGGCCGTTGGTGTCATTCTCACTCTCTGTCACCTGCTCCTCGTGCGCCAGACACAACGGGTCACCCACCACGTCAACCTCCACCTCCTCCACCTCCTGCTCCTTAGCCACTATCAACTCAGGGACAGGATCCTCTGGAACAGCCTCAAATGGCGGAGCAGCTGAGGCTGGCGATTCCCCTGAGCCAGAGACCTCCATCTGCACAGGGACAGAGTTTCTACAAGGCACAGTGGGGTCAGGGGATGAGGGAGCCCCCGTCTGACTACCGTTGAGCAGCGACGGGCAGTTGGTGGCAGAGGTGGGGTTTGCACTAGGCTCTTCAGTTAGTGTGCTAGGTTCCTCTGCTTTATTCTCTCTGAGTCCATTAGAGGCCTTGTGAGCATTCGGGGGCTGAGCTGCCCCGTCACACTCCACATGGCCATCCTCTGCCTTCCCCCCTGTCAGCTCACCTTCATCTTTATTGTGGACAGGTGAGGCAGGAGTTGTGTTAGCAGAGTTTTGGCTGGGAAATTCTTCACAACTGTTGTCATTGCTAGGCTCTGGGACAGAGACTGGACTTTCAGGTTTCAGAGGTTCAGGGTCCTCCTCGTGTCCCTGAGACTCTCCAGAGCGGGAGCACCGTTTGGCCCTTTTGATTTGAGGACAGGCATCCCGTGCGCCCTTCCCTCTATCACATTTCTCAGAATTCTCAGGACTATTGTCTTTTTCTAAACAGGACACGCCCCGCTTCCTGGAGCTGGTCCACTGCTCTGCCTCAGCAGGAGAAACATTTGAGTCAGTTACCTTCACCTGCAACGAGCCCTGCTGCTGGCCATCCTGCTGAGTGTCCTGCTTTGTATCATGTTTGGCGTCCAGCTTTGCGTCCTGTTTAGAATCCTGCTTTGACTCCTGTTTAACATCTTGTTTGGTGTCCTGCTTTGACTCCTGCTTGCCGTCCTGTTTCGACTCCTGCTTGCTGTCCTGTTTCGACTCCTGCTTGCTGTCCTGTTTCGACTCCTGCTTGCCGTCCTGTTTCGACTCCTGCTTGCTGTCCTGTTTCGACTCCTGCTTGCTGTCCTGTTTCGACTCCTGCTTGCCGTCCTGTTTCGACTCCTGCTTAGATTCCTGTTTGCCGTCCTGCTTCGACTCCTGCTTCTTTTTGGGCGAGCGGGCCCTTGGTAGTGGAGGCACTGAGGTCTCCTCCGGCTGGGCAATGCTTCGGTTCCTGAGGGTTCGACCACAAAAGTTCTCATCCAATCCATTGAGCCCCACTGACGACCTTGTGACGCGCGAGGAACGGGACGCGGCCATACTACGGCGGGTGCCTACAGTCTCCTCATCCTGGTGCTCTCTCCTCTGCAGCAGAATGTGGGCACCTGTAAAACACACACAGACAGAATCATGCACTTCATTAAGTAAAAAAAAAATCACTGGAAACTGCAAACCTTTACAACTCAATGGTCACATCATAGCACTTCCACTGCAAAAGCTGTACGTTTGGTTGGTTTCACTGGCCAGCCATGCTAAAAATGAATGCATGAACGATACCCTGGGGTGGTTCAAACAAAAGCGTTCACCAAAAGGCCTTTGTTAAATACCGCTCAGGTCATTTCTCAGCTCACACCAGAGGGGTATTGATTTCCCCTGTCATTGCAGCTAAGCAACACCTTCTGTCCACAGACAAAACTAGATGTCTTATCACAGGTCCATACAAAGGAAACACATTAAAAAGGTGGAGGATCTTAAACTGGCAGGAGACAAAACAGGAAACAATAAGGTCAGATCTTCCATCTGGCCTAAATGACCAATAACAGTCACTTTCGATACTTCGCAAATATCACAGCTTTGAGACTCATCTGTATGTGCTCGGTAACTCAAGAGATAAGGTGACTACAGCGCAGCAAGCATTTTAAGTACTGAAAAAGCCCCCAAAGCTGGCAAGCAGATGAATTATAAAAAGGTAAACTACCTGCATTAAAAACCCCAAATCAAATGTGTGTGTAAGTTTCAGTGAGGGCATATTTATTCCCTCTCTGCAGAGATTACTGCTTATTCTGTCCCACAAAGAATACATATGGTTTATTGGTTGACTGAGTTCTGACACAGAAGCTACACTGTAATTCTTACACCCCAGTTCAGCAGAGATAACACTGCAGACATAGGTTTGTCATCACACACTGTAGGCTGTTTATCTCTTTATAACAGGTGTGCCAGAGGACCAACAGGCTGCAGTCCTTCCACAACTTATCAGAATGTACAAAAATTGAAATGCACTGACAACAGGAACCCTGCACAAGGCTTACAGGCTTAGTGTGTGGACAACCATAGGAAGTTAATCGTCATGTCCTAAACCTCTGACACAATTTAAGGCACAACAAAGCTTTCCCAAACTCGCTCTGTGTGTCGCCTGAGGTATCCCGCAGATGACGTACATTTCTGTGCATCTGGACAAAAAGCCAAATACTACCAGACATTATGAAGCAGTCAATCTTAGATATCTTAATCTATACTAAAGAATCAATTTCACAGATAACACAAAGCCCTCATGCAATTACAATTCAGATGTAATCTAGGTCAGAAAATCCATCATAAGTCCATCAATACTATGCCATGTAAACACCTTACTTTACTCACATTTATCTCATTTACATTAAGGTTGTTACTGAAGCAAACATAACGTAATTAAAAGAGCTGTCACTAACATATATACAGCTTATTCTGGTTTCACCCGGTATTAAGATTCTGCACATGGTATAAAGGCCACGGAGTGAAGCGGATGCAAAGCAATGTATCAAGGAAAACACAATGGCTGGCGGTCATAGATGACGTAAGAACACAATAGCAAAGTAGCCTTGGCATTACAAATAACTCCTCAAGTAATGGAGATTACATTAAGGTTGCTTTGGAAACTCATCAATGTGATGAATAATAAACAAACAAAGTTGCTCTACTTTCCAGACATGAACTCCACAGTCAAACAATTCATTTTAGTGGGCAAGTCTGTGACTGTAAACCTAATCATCTGTAAGTCTTAAGTATACAGTAATTAGTAAGAATATGCAGCCAATGAAAGCAGGGTGAAATTTTGAGACTGCATTGAGTGGATAAAAAGATTTCCTGCCCTGGCTGGAATACATGCATTCATTCCCTAATTCCCCAAAAAACTCTCATTCAACACACACATACACACACACAAACCTTGCCGATGAAGTATCCTCTAGGTAACAGCTTCAAATAATAAATCTAACAACAGAGTACAATAAAAATGTGACGTGGTAAAGGTCATATTAAAGTGACATTCAGGGAGAAATTATCTCACTGGGTGTCCTTTCTTAGAAGATGAGACACAGTCATAGCATCCCATCGTAGAGGAGAGAAATTATTGCAGCAATTAGCATTGTGGACATGGTGCTCATTTACATTAATTCCAAGTACAACAATCTGTAGGCCGACCTCTGTCAAAACTGATTTAAAAGCTCCTTGTTGGTTTTCCTGGGACAATTCCTTCCTTTTCCTTCACTGTACTAACACAGCAACATCAAAGCCAGAGGCTACCTTGGCTACAAATACATTTTGATAATATTCCTTTGGGGAGCTAACATAATAGTCACCTGGAACAAGCACTACCACATGCACATGTTACTCACACTCCACTAAGGACTCCAGCTGAGAAAACTAATGTGATTTGTCCATGCATAAAATAAGAGAAAGGAAGAAAAACACAGAAGGGGAGCAGGTTATTCAGACTGAGCATTCACCCTTGGACTCAAATTGACAAAACTAATTAAGCCTGCTCATCTGACCTGCTCTCAAAAACCAGAAAACTAATCACTACTTCAAACTGATCAGGGTTACAGTTGAGTTGGATAACTGGGCTATATGAAACATTTGCTCACACTTCCTTGTCACAATAATTAACACATTGTTGGCACAGCTGGCAAAGCCTCAATTAATAATTAATTAATAAACGTCTCATGCTGCCTTCAGGTTCCTGTTGAAAATAAGTTTTGTGCCCATAAATCATTACAAAGCACATTGTTATCACTTACATCAGACTGCCCAATGCTCAAATGAATTTAAAACATGTCTGACAGAAGTGTAATGTCAGGATTGTCGTAAAATAAAAATAGTGCAGGTAGTTACAAAGTGTGTCACATAGCTTGCATCTTTCCAGTCCACACTGTTACCACGTAAACACACAAGAACTTTGTTTCTAAAGGGTCAATCATTGACAGACTCCTCAAAAACAGGGTCTCCTTGCCTGTGGAGTGTGTCATAACATAAGCTACCTAAAGTATGGACACACTATGAACATTAAAATAAATATACTTGAAGCCCACTGTTCCAAACCAGCTGATAGTTGGCATTAAAGATTAATAAAGGCAAGAGGAAAATCTATACATTTCTATCCATCCTCTGTGACTCTTCAATTTTTTGTATTTTTTCCTCATGAAACAATATATATTTTGACTTGTAATGACGCTAAAAGGTGCTTCAAATGAAAAAATCTGACACCGATAAACTACTCTTTAGTTGAACTGCTCATAACTCATGTCAGCAACAAGGCCATAATGTTTGATGAGGGGTCGCAAGAAGACATTGCTTTGTTTTATGGGGGTCAAACGGCAGAAAGGTCAGGAACCACCGTTTTAGACCACAGACCAGCAATTTGATTTGTGCTCTCTCCCTACTGTTGTTGAGTATATGACAGTGGGCAGTGCTTAGTTAGTGATCTGAAGGAAAATGTCATATTTTGTGACTATCTTTTGAGTCATATATAAACATTTAACTACGATCATTTCTATTTAATCAAATACAAGCAAGCTTAAAACTCCCTCTGCCTTTTCAAGGAATATCCTAGCACACAAGGTGACAGTAAACCCCACAGGTACACATTTATCATTTAGCAGTAGAAGAGTTTGAGCAAGTTCAATAGCCTTGACACAGTATTTTGTTTATAAATTTCAATGTCATATGCATATTTATATCTGCACATAGTTGTCAAGTGTTTGTTTCACCTTTGTTCAGCTTTGTTGTTCTTGTTTTTATCTGTACCTCTATTTTTGTGCATGTACATTGAGAGCAACTAAGAGTCAAATCCCTTGTATGTGTACACATATTTGGCCAATAAAGCTGATTCTGACACTACTGTCACATATAGCCACTGATCCTGACAAGGTTGGAAAATAGTAGCTCATGCTCACAGGCAGCAGTGTAACCATGAATGCTGAAGGTGTCAAAGCCAGAATGTGTTATTAGTCAGTGCACCTACTTAGACAGGACCCATGTGCGATTGTAATTCTCAATCAAACCACTTCCTGTTCTTCACTAAAGCGCGTGTTTGGTTGTGAAGTTATGTTAACACGTGCTGATTAAATTGCCATAATCATGACAGACCAGGACCTACACATGGGTCATGTGCCATAACAAACGAATCATTGTTTTTTATTTAAACGTAAAGGCTGTAAACTCCAGCTACACATAAGTAAACATACACCTTACTGGCTAAGTGTGAATGCTATTGTTGGCAAACCAGCTAAGCTAACGCCCGTAGCTGAGATCAGAGTTAGAAATTTGTTTTATGATAAACAAACAAGCTTTGTGCTGTTTTACCGTCGAGTTGGACTGTTCATCTCTGTTGCTGACCTGTAGTTCAACACTTCCACAGGGCCTACTGGCAACGAAAAATCCACGAAGTTGTGTTGGTATACATACCGATGAGAATCGCTCAAATCCCAACATCCCAGCTAATCAGCTGCCGCGAGCTCAATGTCGACAAAGTTGGATGCTGTTAAACTAGAGCCTAGACACCGTTGCAGCTGCACGTGCCGCTGGTTAAGTTAACACTAGTTTGCAGCAGGTCAACTCTAAAGTTCATGATTAAAACTCCAACCACACGTTTGGGCAAAACAACCCAGTTAGAAGAGCTGGGGAGCAGGCTAACGTTAGCATGGACCAACTTCCAAACGAACGTTACTTGAGCTAGCTTGCCGTTTAGCGGGCTACCCTTAGCAAACTAACTTACCGTTAGCTCTCCAGGGCTAAATATAAAACATTAACGCTTGAGACACCAAACTGCAGACTGTTGCACCCTTGAAATCCATATATTATCTTACAAGCCTCAAATGACACAACGAAGTAGTACACTGCAATCTAAAAGCCAATTTTCTTCCTTTTTCTCTTGTGAACGACTAGTTAGCCAAGTTGGCTAACATTACCTTCGCTAGTTCTTCTCGGCTAGTTTTCCTATAAACTGCATCGTGCAGAAAAGAATCGTGGCGGTTTCAGCTGTAGCCCCTCTAGTAGCGTTACTAACATGCTAGCTAAACTAGCTCGACAACTGATACAGTCATTAAGTCCACCAGTGATACATAACCGAGTGGTGGGAGTCGCAACTAATATTTTGTTTAGCCGAGGTTTACATTTCAACCGCTACGCACGGACACAAGCGGCATGGTTAGCAACCAAGCGGTATAACGACAGTTTAGTAACCATTTAGCAGCTACGGCTAGCCGCTGCAGCCTAGTATTAGCTAGCCAAGCTAGCTGATTGTTCCGCGCATAACTTTGCCGATGTATTTGTGTATTGCCAACAATGCCGGTCAGAGGCATTTTTGGTGGGCTAATAAATTTAGGTTTTGTCATTTGCTGTACTCGAAGCACCGAACTGGAGGCACACTTCTAAATAGCGTTTGTAGCTCAAGAATTACACATACCTCACTTCCGTAAATTTGCTGCACGTTCGGCCGCAGCCATGTTTTCAATCCAGTCAACTAGCGTTAGTCGGGGTGTGTGAGCCGACTCAACCGCGCTCGTCAAAATGCAACACTATACTGTACAATTTTGCCCCTGCCAAGAGTGTAATCGGTCACACACTCTTCGGGGTCACCTCGATTAATTGATGACTGTTTATTGACACTTTTCATAATAGAAAATAGACACTACAATTGACTTTTTCTTTTCTAATTTACCCCCTTGTTTCTCATCTAACAACCTCTCTACCTAGCAGAAATGGTGACAAAATCAAGATGACAACAGTGTTCAACATGTTTTCATCAAGTTTTAATAGTGTCAGCCAGCAAAATTCAGGATAGATCTTACCCAAGTGACATCCATATGCAAAAACTTGCAGTACAGCATTGTTTACCCCCTATCAGCCAGCATGTTAAGCAACACCATGCCCATACACAAAAATAATGCCTTTAATTAATTAATTAGATTGCTGCTGATGATGCTGATTACATACTGCAATATGCTTTCTGTAGCTGTACAATTTAGTGAAGACAGATCCAGATCATGACTTGCGTGCACATTTTATGAGCAGCTTTGCATTTACATGCAGTTACATGTGATGTTAAACTGGGACTGAGTGTTAAAGCATGCATTCTTAACAGACTCCGCCTGCCACTTATTTTCTACAAAAAAAAATCTATTAACATCATATTAAATCACTCCCTTCTGTGATAAGTTACCAAGTGCTGAATCTTGACCAACATACTATCAGTACTGGTACATTCAAATACAAACCAGACATTTGCGTGAGCATGCCAATTTGTACGTCTACAGAACAGTGCAAAACACAAAATTCATTCCTGAGACTACTCAGTAATTAGTCCCTTCATAACCTTATGATTTTCACCACTTTAAGTGTCACATTTTTGCTCTCCTTACCATTCACTGGACAATATTCTCTTAAGACAGGAAAAATGTGTGATATATCTACAGCAAGATGTATTGTGATTCATCAATATCAGCAACACAAGACACATGGACATACAATATGTGCTCATTTGGTCAAGAAAAAAAAAGAAATATGGCATTCAGTGGAATTTTTAGCTGCACATAATTTAAATGCTCTGTTCTGAAAACAACCTGACACATGAATACTACAGTGCTAATAGAAATTTAAGAGCTCTTTATACAGATTTGTACAACATGACAAACCTTTGTCAGTCATGTTAATTCCCTCTGTCAGCAGTCAAAGGCTGTCACGTGGCGGTAAAGATGAGGTCCTTTGCTCGAATGCTTTTGAAATAAAAGTCAAGTGCAAAATAAAAAGGCTTTTTAATTTCTTGAATGTTTTCCGTTGTTTTCTGCCGAGTGCCTGGTTAGACAGAGCGCGTCTCCATCTCGATCTTCTCCTCCGACTGTGATGATTCTGTTTCCTGGTGGCTGATGTTTGGCCGAACTGTCACAAGTGGACCGCCGCCGTAGATGGAGTGGAGGAAGTTCCATGTCTCTTCAGAGATCTGCCCCGAGTCAGCTCCTACGGGGTCAGAGCAAACACACTTAATGACACTATCTGCATAGTTAAAGGCTCAAGGGTTGTACTGGCAAAAAGGTTTTATTTATCCATCCTATTTATGTTTTTATAGTTCACTTATTTTATGCTTCTTAAAATACCCGAACAAATATTAAAAACATCTTTCCACAGCATAAAAGTAGAGACATAACAACAAAACATGGCAATAATAATAATAATAATTATAATATTATTAATAATAATAATAGTACCTTGTTTGAGTGTTAAATGGCCATTCTTGTTTACTGTTATCTTGGAATTATCAATAGGTCCTGGAGGATCTTAAAGAAGAAGAAAGACAGTTAACAGTCATAGTTATATACACAGCAGTAATATGCATGTCTATTTTTCAGAGATATTTCCTCAATCCTAATTGTTTCAAAGAGCAACAATGTTAAAGTGTCAAATGTTTCTGTCACACCATGAAAAGCAATCTCTGCTCCCCACTTGCTACAGCAGGAAAACAAATATTAGAGGAGCAGAAGTCAGAGGGAAAAAAGACATTTGCCGACGTGCCAGATGTAAGCTGTTATAAATAGATGTGACAATACAAAGCAAGGGAAGCAAAGAAAATGAGAACGAGTGCGAGAAAATGAAATATATTTTGACGCTTCATTTTGCTGTAGCGGGAGGGAAACTTGACTCGGGGGACTAAAGCAAACTCTTTGAAGATAAATCAAGAGAAGAAATGGGACTTCAGAGCTTCTTTTGAACATGAGCAGCTTTTGCAAACAAGAGAATCTGGATGTCCCATATAAAACAGTTCATTTGCCATGTTCTCCTAACCATGTAAATGTATACATCTGACATGGGACATATGTTTTAAAAGAGAAATTTACACCAAACAAAATCGCAACAGTTTTTCAATCAGCAGCAATCAGGCACAAGTGTCAAGATGGAAACAGTTAGCCTTTTAATCAGACATTTAAACAGGATTGGGGGTGGAAAGGCAAGACTTCTGTCCAATTACCATTGTCTTTTCCTTTGACAAAGCCCTCCCACTCACGAAACCACTGCATGCTGATGCAGTATATGACCACTGGAGACTCCTCCTCCTGGAACGCCTTGTTCAGCTACAGAGAGAGGGGGAGAGGAAATGGGGGAGGAGTGAGCAGTAGAGACATGAGGGAGGAGAAAGGATGCAAAGGGATGGGGAGGAGAAACAGGAGGGGTGGGGGGGCAAAAAGAAAAATTAAGTGAAGATGAAAGGATTCAAAGGAGAGGAGATGGAAAACCTAATCAATTCTCTCTGGTAGTTATTCCAATTAGAACAGTCTTAACACCACACTGCACCAATTTCATCTTTCTTGGAAATGACACAATCCAGCTTTCCGTTTCTCTCACACACACACACACACACACCATCTATCTTTTCTTCTGAGCAGCCATTGTGTGAGTGAGCAGACTGAGCAGGCAATAACAGCTGCATCTGTCCCAATGCATTAATGATAAGGCTTTCATCGGGCTCACACCTCTCATCTCCTGCCGGGGTGAAGAGCACCAACACGTGCAGCCTATCAACTGGTTCAACAGACTGGAGAATAGGCCTATACACTCCCATGAGTACTGGGCTGCACAGAGGCTCACTGGCATCAAATGCATTATCACTCATGTCATTTTTTCCTGTGTCTGGCTTAATAGGGTTAGCTCCATATACGTTCCATTTTCCTAGTTGCCCGTGGTCTTACTGGTGAACATATGGTTGCAACCCAATCACCAGAATAAATGTTGGCACTGTATGTTTCCTCAAACAAATATGTAGCAGTAGCAAATATGTTGAAACTTTACATTTCAATTTTATGTTTTTACAATGCTGTTGTTAACATGTAATTAGGTTTAGGCACAAAAGCCACTTAGGGTTAGGAAACTATCATGTTTTGGCTTAATCGCTACAAACAAACACAGCTGGAAATGACCCATACTCTTGTAAAAAAAATACCTGCTTTTGTCGCTACGAGCATGGCTAGAAATGTCTTGACCCGTTGTTAAAAAATACCCCCTTGTCTCTACAAACACAGCAAGAAATGTCCAAGCTTGTTGTTTAAAGATACCTGCTTTTGTTGCTACAAACACAGCTAAAAATGCCCCAAACTCTACTTAAAAAACACCTGCATTTGCTGCTTCAAACACAGCTGGAAATGTCCCAACCTCTCCTTAAAAAATACCCGCTTTTGTCATTACAAACACGGCTAGAAATATCCCAACCTCTTGTTAAAAGATATCCCCTTTTGCCTCTATAAATATGGCTGGAAATGTCCCAACCTCTCATTAAAAATACCACTTTTGTTGCTACAAACACGGCTGGAAATGAACAGCGTCTCCAACAGAGTGGTTTGCCTTTGTCTGCTTTTCATCAGTCGTCTCCTTCTCCTGATGAGAAACTTAGCTCAATAAACGTAACATATCTGTGGTTTGCAGAAACGTTAAATGCCAACATTCTGTTCTGGCGACTGGGCTGATGGTTGACAGACTTACCCTGACAAACATGTCCAGCTCTGATTTGCGCCGTTTCTCCAGTTTTTCAATCTCAATCTGGCACGTGTGGCAAACATACAAGTGGTTGACAGCTGGTCCTCCTCCGTACCTGCAGGGAACAGTCCAAGTTAACTCACACAGATGAAATTAACTCTACAAAAGGAAATGGTACTGCAACTGTGAGTAAAATGAGTAATGGGAGAGGTGAAAATGTTTAATGCCTCCAGTTGGCCTGTCTACTGTATGTACCTGCTGTAAAGGTGATCCCACACGTTCTGTGGCAGCATCACAACCAGGTCATCGATGAACGTTGCTTTGTTGGGGGGCACACCTGATGAAACATATTAAAACATAATATACATTTGTTAAGGATCAGTGTTGGGAACAGTGTGACCACTATCTTC